AATTGTTAAACATAACATTTCGCGCAATTTGCGAATAAATCTTTGTTATACTGTGTAATATCTTTGCATCGCTGAAAATTAATATATGTTCTATCCTAAATTAGAAAATGCAAAATATTTTTGTCAGCTAGCAGTTTTTGTCCTTGACTTATTGGTGGTGAATATATATGTTTCCCATCCATTGATCTCTAGTTTTCCTTGCAAGGTACCCAAATTTTATCTTAGACACCCCCTCGAATTATTAAGATTGAGTCCTAGAATGTGCAGATCCGATCACTAGATCAAAAGTTTTCAGGATGGTATTTTTGCCTTTTTTTTATTTATTTTTTCAATGTACTATCTTGCAACAAAGAATTATCTAATCTTTAGAATACGCAATTAACTTAAATATTTTAAAACTTATTAAGCATTTTTTTTTTTTTTTTAAGAAATTGCCAATTTGGCGAGCATTCCACCAAAATAAAGATTATTAAAATCGTTAAAAAACTATTAAATTTTGAAAATTTTTATGAGTCCAGGTAATTCATAATTCGAGCAATTTGTAAGTATTTTATTTTATTTTATAACCGTCGTTGAACAGCCGACACAATTTTGGGTTTACGACTACTAATGATCAACTAAGTAACCTTGAAATTTTGAACGCAATCCAGAAGACAAGGAAACTAATGGATCAGTACTATCAGAGGCATGATTTTTTATGGTATCATTGAGGACTTTGTGACTCAACAGATTTAACGTTCATCAGTCACCATTTACTACACGGGGAATCTTCGGCCGGCGGAGATCGAACGAGAGTTTAAATTTTTTAAATCAGTAATTATTTTTGAAACTATATTTATATCAAGATAATAAACCATAATTTATTTGATTGTTTAGTTAGTTTTATGAAATTATTTAAGTAAAATACCATTTAAAAAAAAGAAATAGCAAAATTTATGAAACTTTGCATCAGTATTTCACATCGATTCTTTCAATTCAAAATAAAGTGACCAAATTCAAGAATAACGAATTATGTTTCGCTGAAAACTATTTCCTACTTTATTCCAATTCTTTTTCGAAAACTATAATATAGCTCACTATATTCATTTGCAGGTAATATATGAACTACTCCAGACCTGCGAATTCAACTGATTAACTTAAATTATCATTTAAGAGTTTCACTGTTGAAACGATGATTAAAATAAAAATAATTAATCCTTCACATTAATTATTATCAAAATATTTAGTAGTATTTTTTCGGTTAATGTGTTCAGGGCTGCTAATAAATTTTTTTTTAATTTGGGGTTCCGCTGGATGCTAGATCATTTAGAGTTTCGTAACCGTATATAATTGGCAACCGCTGCTCTATTGTATCCCTTTTCTCACTTTGAAATACTTTTTTTAAGAAATTTGTCGAAGTTGAAAATTAGTTTTAAGTCTGACCAACCCACTATCTTTAACCAAAAGCTATTTTAAATTTATTCCACATTTGTCCAGTATTCCATAGCCAAATTTTGACGTTATTGTATTTTTTATTTGTGAATTTAATTTATTTTTTATTTGTAAATTTAATTTATTTTTTATTTGTGAATTTAATTTATTTTTTATATGTGAAAATACAAATATAATTCACGCATTGTTTTACTTCGCTATTATTTATTTTCTAATCATAATACAAAAATGAACGAATTAAAAAAATATTTTAAAATTTTTCATTGAAATTTTACTGCATATATTTCCATTTTAAAAGAAAGCGAAACTCTTTTACTTCTCCTAACCGCATTTTCCCCATAGTTTCTGCTGCCAATTCCATAACTATGGGATAGTCTTGACTTCAATGTATCCACCCATGGCGTCATTGTACTCCCAATAAAAAAGGCAAAACCATTTAGAAGCCAAATTGGCTACTTATCTATCTTTTATCGTTCAATGATGCATCATCTGAGGCTGGTGAAGTGTTCCAATACGCGTCTAACAACTTAAACGTTTCTTTTCTCATGCCATTTTTATTCCGAATTATCATTTTAAAAAGTGCCGTAAATTCCCACGCTGTTTCCTATTTGGTTTCCTCCCCAATGACATATCCAGAGGCTAAATAATCGTTTTTACTACTTGAATCTGGGGGTATTTTGCTGAAACAACCCCCAGAGAGAGAAAGCAGCAGAATTCGAAAAAAGTTTCTTGACCAGTTTCTTTCTTTTTTCCCACGCCAGGCTTTCAGGGACCCTTGAAGACAACTCTCTAAACACAAAAGGATGCCGCCTTAGATCCCCACTACAATTTTATGAGGTGTCTCTGATTGTGCTTCCCAAAGAAGTTTGGGTGGTCGTTGGCGATTGATTGTTGGCGCCTATTCAGAGCCCGTTTAATCACCGAATTTGAAAGTTGAACGATTAGTATTTGTGTTGATAATCGCCAAATCGTAAAATCAAGAGCTCAATGGCGACATTCATTTAGCAGTAGCTTGCCTGTTAGTGAATGATCGTGGGAATATTCCAAACATCTGAAAAATAAGAGATTTTATTTTAGTCAGATTGATAATCACCACCAATTTTATTGATAATCGCCACCGTATAAAATCAAGAGCTCAATGGCGACATTCATTTAGCAGTAGCTTGTCTGTTAGTGAATGATCGTGGGAATATTCCAAACATGTGAAAAATATAAGATATTTTATTTTAGTCAGAGATTTTTCACTAATTTTTACTTTCCCTCTGAACCATTGCTTTTTCTGATTTTAGACAAGCGATTTATAACAATACTTTTTGAATCATTATATGTATTATGCTATAGTGTTGTATTCATTTAATTTATGTTATTTATATGTATTCATTAAATCGCAATGATATTATTACGTTTCCAGTGGTCGTAAAGAAACCTATTACCACAGTACCTATAGTAGATCTCTTCTACCAGTACCATAACCAGTAGTATGTAACCCTTAGTATAACCAGTAGTACATAACCCGTAGTATCTATTACCACAACTAACAAAGCATTACTAGTGGCGTCAATATAAGCAGGATATTTTACGACTTCCCGAACCGAACTAGTACCGTCGTCATCGTTAAAGTATGAGGCTAAAAACAATCGGGGCCTGATTATTGCCTAGGCCCAGTAGGCACGGGCCTAGGGCCCACACTTTCTGGGCACCTCAAAAATTAGTAAAATGACCACAATATGACTTTTTTTAAAATACTGAAAATAACAGTTTTTCTCAAAAAAAGGCATTTTTTTATTTCAAATTATCTTTATATTGTGATAAACCAAACTCGTGTAAACATTGCACTAATCAAATTCAAAAGTACAGCTACTTTTTAATTGGTGCAATTTTTACTTCAACGACTTAAGCAGATGCAACGAGTCACCGAACTAATGTTATTTTCATACAACATTGTTTTGCTGTTTTATATTTTGCCTTAATATTTAGATGCGTAAATTTTATCTTAGAAAAATAATATTCAATTGTCCGCTTTCAAAATTTTTTAGAATGTTTCTCTTGAATCATGCAGTTTAGATTCTTTTTTTTTTTTGTTGTTCGGACTACTCTTCAGTAATTTAATTTCAAAATATTTTGTTAATGGCCCTAAAAATTTTGTGGGCCTTGGGCCTGAATTTGTCTTGATCGGTCCCTGAAAACAATTATAGAGTGTGTACTAGATGTGTTTCAAATTAACCTGCCAGTGAGATACCTGCTGCCTTCGGCAGCAATATTAGGGCTTTACACTCAAATGCCGAAAATCACCTTTCAGATCTCTCTATTGGTGGATGTGAATATCATTCAATATTTTATTTTTAAACCTTCGTTAAACAACCGACGCGATTTTGAGTTTACAACTACTAACTCCGTGGCCTTTTAATTTTGAACCAAATAAGGAAACTCCTGCATCAAATATTGGAAGAAATTTACTTTCGTTGAGAACTTTTTTTTATGATGATGGAACTAACCCGCATTTGCTTTACGTGGAGAGAAAAACCTCCCACATTTAGCCTAACGACAAGGGGACTCTAATCTAGATATCCGTCTACCACTGAGGATGTTTTACGTCTGTTCGTATCGATTGGCCATCGTTGGGATTCGAACCCGGTTCACCTCATTGGAAGGCGAACGCTCTACCTCCTGAGCCGCCACTGCTCATAGTAATGAATTTTATTTTATTTTATAACCGTCGTTGAACAGCCGACCTATTTTGAGTCATCGACGATCTCATTGATTTAGACGCGAAAGTTCAATATATTGAATTATAGAATAACAATAAAGTTGTAATCGTCTAATACGTTTTAAATGTGCTGCCCGCTGTAACGTTGCTCGTCATAACCATTTAATTTGGCCAAGTTTGAATTATATGCGCACCAATTCCAATACATTTTTGAAATTCAAACTTTTTTTTATTTCATTGATTAATAAACATGATTTTTAATCCGAAAATGATAGAATTTCGGAGCATTCATAACCTACATTCATTGGCGTAGCTTGTATCTTTCGTCGTCATGCATAGTGTATCTTTTGTAACAACATTAAATAAAAGGAACGCTTCTACACTGTAAAAAAAAATTTGGTGTGTAGTTGACGCCATTTTTCGTGTTGAGGTAAGCTGAAAAAAATTTACAGTTCACGTAGTCACATTTTTTTTAAATTTACTTTTTGACTGTTATAGTTTTATTTATTCATTTCTCGTTTGTTTACTAACAGTACATATTTTCATGCTCATTAGAATCCATTTATGGCAAAAACATTTCGTTTAAAAGAAACGAATATATTTATATCTTCGCACTTTCAAGCCATTGTTATTTTGTCAAATTTATATGAATTTTTGCATGATAACTACATTTCTGTACTTAAAAATACATTTACCTCTACACCAAAAATGAGGCCAACTAAAAACCAAAATTTTTACTGTGTACTGACTATTAGTGTGTACAAAATTTCTTACTTGACATTTTTCTAAAAACTTCTAACTCTTAAATTTAATTTGTAGATTTTGTATCATCCTATTCAAGCTAGTTTTATTTTTGTTGCAGGCTATAGGCACTGGCATGGTGATTTGCGAATGGATGATACACCTTTAGAAGCTGGATTGGGTTTTACTTGCAAATTAAAAACCGAAACACCATTTTTAGGCCGATTAGCTGTAGAAAAACAGAAGAAAGAAGGACTCAAGAAAAAACTTGCTTGCTTCACGATTGATGAGTAAGTTCTGTATTATTCAAGTAGTAGTAGAAATCTAACAATTCATTTTGGAGCTTTATAAATGCGCTTGTAGCTCTCATGGATTCAGAGAGATAAGACTGAGCTGTATAGAATGTTTAATGTATTATTCAATGTAGTAGCAGTAGTAATTTATTTACGTCGCATTAGAGCTACACAATGAGCTGTTGGCGATGGTTTGGTAAACATCTCCGAGGATGATCTGAAGACATGCCATCACTATTTTAATCCTCTGCAGAGGGGATGACTCCCCCGCTTCGGTAGTTTGACGACCTGTGCCTGAAGTCGAGCACTTTACGGTAGAACAGTTTAACGAGGACCCATACCGCACACCCTCGGTCCCATTGTAGGCTGATCAAAGCGATCGCCCATACGCGCACTGACCGCAGCTGACTTCGGTGGTTTGCTAGGAACCGTGTCTCAACGATCAGCTCACTGCGTTAAATATTATTGAAAGAAAAATTAAGATTAATTACAAATTAAAAGAAAAAAAAAGCAAATTTTATTTTGTATAGTTTTGTTAATTAATGCGGATAAACGTATATTATAAAAAATTTAAAAAGAGAAAATAAGAATTTAACTTTTCATCTTTTTTTCCTTTATAAAATGAATGTCTACCGTGAAATATCGTTGATTTTGATTTTGGTATCGTTGATTTTGATTGAGGCTGTGAAAAAAAAAAAAGATTCGTTGCTTTGCATTTTTTTTCACATCTCCATCTTCTTTTAAAAATTTCCTCATGAATGAGTGCTAATTTTGTTCTTGTTAGTAGATCTTTACTAATAAAGGTAAAACTATGTTGATATGAAAATTAAGTCAATTTAACAGATGTTGTTATGGAAGACTTTAAAAAATGCTAGGACGACTAAAAAAATTAAAAAATGCTATGAATTCATATGAAAATTAAATATTTTAGTTAAACTTCTAATGATAGTTTAGACAATACTGAAATATGCGCTCACTACACTAACACAAAATGGTGGTCACGTGGTGTTCGTAATCACCCAAAACGCTCTCAGGCAAAATCTCAAAATGTGGCTTATCATTCTATTGCCATCCAAGCATGAAAGAGCCATGTTTGAGTGCATTTCAAAATTATTCATTGCGATACATTTTCAATACCTATTCGTTAACGATTTAAGAAATTAATTAATTAACTTTTTTTTTCCATCGAGATAAACCTGAGTTCTGAAATTAAAAATTGATACAACCGCTGTTCCGAGAAAGTCATCGCTAACTACTATTTTGTTTTTCCTATCATTAAGTTTAGTGTTAATTACCTAATTGGATAGTAAATTGTTTATTTTGTTGCTGCTATCTTGGGAATTTAATCTCGAGTTTATTCATAAGATGAGTTATGCCATAATAATATAGAAGAAAAAAGTGGCATATTTAATGAAGCTTAATGACCAATTTATTGTTCCTCAACTAACAGTTTAATGATATTAAATTACGAGTTAAGTAGCAGGAAAGTAACAAGTCTGATGATAATCGGAGGCTTAAATCCCAGTTTAAGACAATTCTTTTTTTTTAATTACTTAAAATATTTCTCTATAGTAAAAATCGTAAAGGTCGCCGCCGTTGTTATGAGTGTTCAAGTTAGCGTTTCATTTTATTTCGCTATGCAAAAACTATAAGACTTAAAAACTCAGGTGTGTAGAAAAATGTACTACACGGAATACATTGAGATAAAAAAAATATTTCGCTACACTGAAACTATAAGACTTAAAAACTCAAAATTACTAAATTCTGTAGAAAAATATATTATACGGAATACAATGAGATAAAAAAATTTATAAATTAGGTTTTGATTATTTGTTCGTGAATTATTAGTGCTAAATTGTAGGAAAAACAAATCTACAGAAAGCAGGAATGCAAGTACAGAAATGAAATTTTACATGCTGTAAGGGCACTGTTTTTATAAACTTAAACTTAACACAAGTTGTTGTTGTTTTTTTTTTTATTCTAATTTGTTTGAAAATTTTTGCAATATTAGGTATTCTTCTCACTTTTTCTTCTTTACGTAACATTTTATTTTGCTGCGCAAACTTAATAAGGCTTAGAAACTTGAAATTACGATGGTGTGTAGAAAAATGTACATCGAATTCGATGGAATTAAAAAAAAAAATAGATTTGATTATTAGTTCAAGAATTATCAATTGTTAAGCTTGCAGTAAAAAAGGAAAACTATATTGGAAAATCTATTGCCCGCTGAAATACAACTACAGAGTTGAAATTTGACGTACTGAAAGGGTAATTTAGTGAAATAATAAAACTAGTTTTAAATTTAAAAATTTTTATTTCTAATAAGCTACATCAATTTATCTTAAGGTGTAATTGTTTATTTTGATTAAAATCCCATTTCCTTTCAGTAGATAATGGTACATTTCTTAATAATCAATTATGAATTTATATGGTACATTTGTTAATTGTCAATTATGATAAATGATTTTTATTAAAACGCAACAGTATTTCGGTAATTTGTTGTTATCAATTACGTATTTACATGGTACATTTTTTAATTATTTATTTATGCATTTTGTTTTAGCCATGTTCCACTATGGGGCCTAGAAGTAATCTGGAGAGATGATCGTATCGTTGGTTTTCTGCGAAGAGCCGATTACGGCTTTGCTATTGGCAAAAGTATCGGCTATGGCTATGTCACAGATCCTGATGGGGGAAATGTAACTGTACCTTACCTTAAATCTGGCACTTACCACCTTGAAAGTATGGGTGTAAAATATGCAGCTCAGTATCACGCGAAATCTCCATTTGATCCCGATAACTTAAGGGTTAAGGGCATTTATTAAACTTAATCTTCTAAGTAATTAATATGGAAGGAAAAAAAAGGGGGCAATTATTGTGTTTGATGAATTTTTTATCATGTCTCTACACATTTTCACTATAGTTATTTTTATAAAATTAATTTTAAATGAGCAATAAAGAATCTTAAAATTTAGCATCAAAGAGATTTAGTTTTATAGATTCACATCCTTGCACGTTCGTATATTCTGAAATTATTAAGCATTTTACGGGTACGAGCATTTTACTTTTGAACGTATATTTACGCGAATGTGAGGAGATGTGAAACGGTTTTAAATTTCTCTCATAATTATTTTCCTCTTTGTATCAAAATTTTAGTTTTCAAAGTTTAGCTCGGTTGTAATTATCAAAATAGATTATGGAACTCTCATAACTATTTTCCTCTTTGTATCAAAACTTACGTTTTCAAAGTTTATCGACATTCAAAAATAATAGGAATAGGTTTTTGTCTTGTTACTTTTTAACTTCGAGTTATAAATAACTATGAAGTTTTTCATCATTACCTGTTCAAATCAACAAAACAAATTTTTTTAACACCTGAAAGTTCATGTGTATGCACATTCAAATATGATAAATTCCTAAAACAAAAATTACTGTTCATAATAATTATTTTAGGAAACCATCCTGAAGTTTTATAAATTTTGCTTTTTACTTTAGTTTATTCTAATTTAAAAAAAAAAAAATCACTTTATACTTCTCAGTTTGGAACTTCTACTTTAGCCTAATGAAAAAACAACTCAACCCATAAGTCCTGCGAGTTATCGTTTTCTAATGCGCGGTAAAGATTGAAAGAACGCAAACGAGGTTTTATACAAAACCAAAACGTTTGTTGATTTTATAATGCAATCAGTGCCATTTGTCTTTGTTCTGTGCCAATTATGTTACTATTTAATTTTGTTGATTGAAATATAGCATTGTATTCGATGATGATACACATATAGCTCTATTTTATTTATAAGTCCCACTACGTTTTTACCAGTTATTTTCCAATTTTAACTTTTTGAGATTGTGTGATTTTTTTGTTGGTGGAAGAATTTGTTTTAATTGATATTTATCTATTTTTTGAGCAAAATGTATTTTGTGAAATAACAATAAAGATTTTATGTATTTCTGTATCAAATTTCGTCTTTTTTAACCTAAGATGCTTTAATTCGGTTTGATATTTTAATCTGTATCATGCTTTTAATTCTGTGAAATTTTAATACTTCCAAGGTTTGGGCAAACTGCAATACTATGAACAAATTCTTATAACTTTTAAACATTTAAATACGATTTTGTGCTTTGTTGATTTTGTGTGTTTTTAATTAATTATTTTTAAAAGTTGAGAACATTTCAAATCATATCTACAGTATCTGAATCTGAAACAATGGCCAATTCTTTTGAACAATCAGTTCACTAAATTAATTTGTGAATGTGATTGATTTGGGCACATTAAAATTAGTAAACTAATTTATCATGCTATTTTTTGAAAATGTAAACGGGAAATTTACGTACACTTCAAAGGAAACGGAGGACGGACTATTCGTAGTTATACATCCAAATAAACACTATATATTTACATTTATACAAAACGATGATTCTCATAATTTTGTTAGAAGTTAAATTGGAATTTTTCTCAAAATCGTTTGTTCGTTTCGATACTGTTAAAAAAAAAAAAAGGTGTTGGAATGTGTTGGCAAGCTCTGCAAACAGCAGGTGTTTCAAAAGAATGAGAGGCCTGCTGTTCTTACTTCCAACCTGTATCAAAGTGAGAAAGAAAACGATAATAAAAAAGAGGCCTAGAGCGATCTGCTATGTAATTACTCTGTCTGTGCCTCTCTGTCTTATTTTCTTTCTTTTTTTCCTTTTATTTGTTTCTCTTTTTTTAACTCGTGAGAAATATCCTTTTCTTACTTTCTTTTTTTTTTTATTTTCACAAACATATCAATGAGCTTTAAAGAGAGATCAAAATATTTCAAGACGACGACACTTTTTTTTTTCTTTCTATATTTTGAGAAAATTTTTATAGTGACTTTTATCTTCCAGTAGCTTATGCTGAAAGATACGAAATAGGCACAGTGAAATCAAAAGGTTTTCACCATAGTGTATCAGTTAAATTTGCTAAAAACTTTCTAAGTTAATTTTTTCAATGACTACACTGATAGTTAAAGCAATTTTTCTAATTTGCACTGGTATATATGAATTATTTTTTTTCTAAATATTATTAAAAAAAACTAAATTAATAAAAATTATTTATTGTCGCAACGTATAGCTCAATGTAAATATTGATCTATCCAATATGTTTCTGCAGTTCAAAAATAATAATAAATAGATAGCGATAATTTACGTATCAAGATAAAATGGCTTAATTTAGTATGCCATGCTGAAAAATTTCATATTTTACAACTCTAGTGTTTAGAAAAGTAGTGTTATAAATAAAGAAAGAGGAACTAGCTTGGTCCTAGTCTTGTCACGGCTCTGATTGTTTTTCTAGGACAAATTCAATTGAAACTTTATTAAATTTTTGTGTAATATATCCATGACGAGGTTCACTCAAAACCAGAGAAAATACGATAAACGTTTTAATTTAGTACCTTGAATCATGTACCAACAATCACGAAATTAGCTTAATTTAGTGCCAACAATCACGAAATTAACTTAATTTAGTGCCAACAATCTCGAAATTAACTTAATTTAATCCCAACAGTCACGAAATTAACTTGTTGTTAATTTACGTCGCTCTAGAGCTGCACAATGGGCTATTGGCGACGGTCTGGGAAACATCCCGGAGGATGATCCGAAGACATGCCATCACAATTTTGATCCTCTGCAGAGGGGATGGCACCCCCGCTTCGGTAGCCCGACGACCTGCACGCGAAATCGAGCACTTTACGGTAGCACAGTTTAACGAGGACCAATACCGCACACCCTCGGTCCCTACGCCGACTGATCCAAGTGGTCACCCACCCGCACACTGACCGCAGCCAGTGATGCTTGACTTCGGTGATCTGCTGAGAACCGTGTCTTAACGTTTAGTCCACTGCGGGACTTCGAAATTAACTTAATTTAGTGTCAACAATCACGAATATGAAAAAAAGTTCTCAATTTCTTGCGATAATATAAAACCGTATGCCGGTTTCACATTTTTAAATATTCATTTTTTTTTATTAGCTTGTATATTTTAAAACAATTCGATCAAGAATACATGAAAGTTAAAATTAAAGGTTTTTAATAGCTATTTTTACGAAAATTTAAGTTTTTTTTTTTTTTTAATTTTAAATTCGTATAGTTTATTGCTAAAATTTTAAGTAAAATATTGCTTTGTTCGTAGTTGTCCTTATTTTCTTGATGAATAATATTTGTTCCTTGTTGGTCCTGATTTTTAGGTTTTCCTTCTGATATTGGTAATTTTAGTGTGTTGTGAATATTTTTTCTTTACGAATACAGATGCAGATTTTGATTTGTGATTCTATCTTTGTTTATTTTATTAATAATGCTAATGAAAATCGAAAATTCAAACTTAAGGACCGTTTACTAATTATATACATGTTTCGGGTACAAAACCTTTATTTACTAACTTTTTGATTTATGGAAAATAAACTTAATAATTTTGCATTACCATACGCGTATTTATTATTTTCAACTAATCTTGTAGGTATGAGCTCTGTAGTTATAAAATTATTGATTAGTGTCCTTCATCTGATTTTTAAAATGATCGATTCTGATTAACAACACAGTAATCGTATCTTAGAATTTTTAAATGGAGAAATTTAGAGATAATCCACAAAATGACTTTTTTTTCCCATAAAAATGTTAAGCAGCATGTTCACTGTTTTCGAGATTATCGAAACCCTACTTTAAAATTACTTGATTAAGGAAGTCTTGAAATGGATTACAAATTTTAATTCAATATTGGTTCTTATTATATTGGTAGTATTTTTTTAAACGCAAATAAAAAATTTCATTAATCTCAAACAATTATGAATTGTTCTGTGATTTATAAATAAAAGTATACTGGAAACTGCCACAACTTTCTGTTTTAAACAAAGTAATTCTAAAATTAAAAATAGTAATATTTTATTATTGTTTTGAGATGAAATTCTCCCGTAATATACTTAAGTAGAGCAAATTATAATTTTTTTTAGTAGCCTGAAATATCTATTACCGTTCCGAAATTTTGTGATTTTTTTTCTTCAAAAAATCTTGATTTTTCTTAAGCTCTCTAGTTAAAGTTATTAATTTTCAGAATATTTTACAAATTAGCACCTCTTCGTTATATTCATTCAAATAATTAAATAAATTTTTATTCGAAAAAAAAAACATTTTAACTCTATACGAGTCATTGTTTAAGTGAAAACATAAACAACTCATCGCTTGAATATTATAAAACTGAAGAAAAGCAGTTTTGCGATAGCATATTCGATAAAACGACCCACATCTAAAACAGTAGCATGTCAGCTTAAGTTTATTAAAAAAAAATTATAAATAAATAAAAGTTGATAGAAAAAGGAATCTCTTATATCTTAAAGCAAAATAGAAGTTTTAAATAAAATAAATAACGTCCCAGCCATTAAATTAGCCATTGTTCTCAACTTGCCCACTGAGCAACTAAACGAGGAAGACGTGAAAGTTCCAAGTCTATCAGAAAATCGTTTTCTCTTATCAGATCCACGTTTACAGCCGCCTATGTTCTCGTTTTGTTAGATTCAAACGTACCTGAAAAACTAACCATAAAATAAAGAAAGAAAATAAAAGGTATATCAATAACAAAATTCGAACAAAAAAACAAACAAAAAAGTTCGATTCCTCCCTTGAGCTATAGGAATTCCAATCCAACAGCCAATTACATTTCAAAAGTATATATGTAAGAATTTTTTGTTCTTTTTTATTCGTCGAATTATTATTTTTTTTTCATCGCTCGCTCACGAACGCAATGTGGAATGCGGGGTCATACGATACACGAATAACAGAGGAAGAGCGACATTTCTGTAGAAAATGCCCAAAGCTCTTTTGTAAATTGTTTTTAAAGTATAGTGCTGGTGGGCTAATGAAATACAATTGTTGCGAATCTGCGATTTTTCTGGGTCAAATTAAAGTTTAATTAAAAAGTAATTGATTAAGTTTGTTTGTATTATACTTATTTTATAACTTATTAAATTTTAACTATGAAACTCTGAAGTGAGAAAAAATAAACTTGATGGATGGTAAATGGAATTTTTATTTTTGTAAGAGCGATGCAAAGTGGCGTTCTCAAAGGGAGTGAAATAAGGGTGGCCTAACACTCCTTCAAAGGTTTTTAAAAAATTCTCTAAAATTTCAGCACGCAATTTTGAATAAAATTAAATTTGTACAAGTATTTTCTTTCGTGCATGTCTAAGAAGATGGTTAAAAATATTTTATTGTTCTGTGATGAGAAGTAATAAAATTATCTTCCAAGTTTGATTTATGCACCAACCAGCAGGTTTTCAAAAATGGCGGAACAAAGAATAAATTTTCAAAAAAAAAAAATTTTTTTTTCCGTAACGACTCCAATATTTGGCGAAATAATCGTGTAAGAAAAGTTGCGTCATTGAGCTTTTAAGTGGGAATTTTATTTAAATAGTAATGAAATCGCATGTTCAACAATATTATCCTCTCTATGAAATACTTCCCTGAACTCCCTCGGTGCATGGGCAAAATAAAATTGTCATTTTTGAAAAAAATTATGATTTTTTTTTTAAATTGCTGCTTATAATTAACTTAAACATAAATTGTTGAGCCGTAACGGCTCAGAGGATAGAGCGTTCGCCTTCCAATGAGGTGAACCGGGTTCAAATCCCAACGATGGCTGGTCGACACGAATCATTTTCCGACTTGCACCGACCACAGTGCTGACGTGGAATACCCTCAGCGATAGACGAATCATGGGTTTGAGTCCCTTTGCCATCAGGAGGTTCTCGTGGTCTTCCTGTCCATGTAACGCAAATGCCTGTTAGCTCCATAAAAAAAAATCCTCCACGAAGGCAAATTTCTCCCAATACTTGATCCAGGA